CTCTCTCTCTCTCTCTCTCTCTCTCTCTCTCTCTCTCGCTCTCTCTCTCCCTCTCAAGTTCCCCACAACTCACCTTCATGGCCCAGCTCTTATTCAATCTTTATGTCTTGCTCTGACCCCAGGTCTTCCATGAAATTGTTCCTGAATTCAAGTGGTTTAAACCTCTGGGGCTGCTGCCCATTTCTAAGCTTTCAGAGATGTCTTACTGTGATTCTCACTGATTGGCTGTGTTCTTTGCTAGATCCTGAGAGCTTGTCAGTACTTCTCTGACACTGCAAACTTTTGAATGAATGAATGATAAGTAACATAATGAAAGAGCATATGTTAGGCAAATGGTCTCACCTTTCCAGTCTTCCTATCAAGCCTGCCTACTTGACCTTTCCTATGCAAGAGGGAATGTACTTTAGGACACATTGCACCTGTAATGCCTCCGGCACAGCTCTGACCTCATTAAGTCACATTCTAATAACAGGGAGGGATCTTCCTCATGGTTTGTAAGGACACAGATTGTGTGTTTTACCTCCTTGCTCCCATGTGGCTTAGATGCAGTCACTCTGCAAACCCTGTGATTTGTAGGAATAAACTCACTGGAGCTCTCCTGTCACCTCTCGCCCAGGCTCACAGCACTACACCTGCAGTCAACCTGCCACTGAGGTATATTTTGCTCCAATGTCACCTTAGGTTCTTATCTGTTTCTCTGTGTTTATTTGGCTCGTGAACAACAATTCCAAATGATCTCAATATCAACAAACTTTTATTTCTAACTAGTTTTGGAAAAGAACAAATCACAAAGATGAAAAAACAAAAATTATGCTGAGAATGAAAATCTACTATGCCATTCCCTTGGCAGGCATTTTGTTAATAATTGTTATAATCAATAATAGAATGTCACTGGTTTACAATATACATATATATATGTATATTGTGTGTATATATATATTAGATATCTATACTTCAATAGAAAGAGACATAAAAAGGCCTTTTCAAATGAGGCATGACACGCAACATGGGACACTTATTTACAATCTAGAGATGTACTTTCTACATGATTATAATAGATGCTCAGAGTCCAGAAAGGGTTTACAAAGACAGCAGGACACCCCTATAAAGAGAGGTGCAGCATGCAGCTGGACATTTATTGCCATTAGTTCTCACTGTGTCCAGGCAGCATATTGAAGGTAAAAATGGTATCTGGTTATTGGAAAAGAAGATGATCATCAGATTCATCCAGACTCCATAACCGCTGGCTACACGGTCTTAGAAGTGACCCAGAAATGACGCGTGTGGCTGATGGGAACTGGAAACACAACATGGAATGAGCCCTTCCTGTGGGCTCCAGTTAGAGCTGGAGAGGAGAAGTTACAAGGAAACTATGGCCCCATCTGGGCAAGAGCATGTGTGTCTAGGCCAGAGAATGCCCCACCATGAACTTCCCAACCGGGAAGCTAGTATCTGCTGGCTACAGCATAAATGCATTGCTGCTTATGAGGGGCCAGAGTCTATTCCAGCCAACACCATCTCAAGCTCAGGAAAAATACTCAGTAGAGAAGTGACCAGAAGATTAAGCAAAACCATGTGATGGGACCATGCTATCAGGGACATTCAGAAAAAACCCGCAGAGGAACCCCAAGTCCAGAACATGGAAGTCTGCCTTTACAAAACCCTCGGCACCTTGCCAACACCACTTCTTTGGATGAAGCCCACAAGTCTACTCTCCCACAAAGTTGCCTCTCTAGACTAGTTTCTTGTGGTCTGTATTTAATGTGCAAGAATCTAAGACTCTCAGATGGCCTGAGATTCACTTGGCTTCATTAGCACACCATTAGTGGCCTAGCCGGGGTGCTTGGTCAGATAAGTTCCTACACTGCAGGAGGGATCTTTGGAAGATGCAGGAGCTTCCAAAGATCCTGTCCTGTGTTATTCATCTCAACAGTCCTAGTTCATGGATTCCTTACCAGCAACTAAATGACTCATAAGCCTGCCTTTAGCCTGCACAGAGTATTCAGTCTTTGGGATCCTAGCAAATATCCTGGTCCATTTGTACAGTTTCTCCCTTCCGCATGGCTTCTGATGCATAGGCCCACAAAGCCATCACATCCCCGTAAGTCACTTACCAACAGTAGTTTAACTTGAGTGCAGTCTGGCTTTTGTTCTTCAATCTGATCTCACTTTTGTCTCTGTTTTCTATCCATTTTTATCATTGGTGATCATTCCTAGCCCTTTGTTTTCCTAAGGCAATTAAACATCTCCATTGGAAGATAGCCAGCACCCTTCTGAGAGCTCCCCTGAGATCTGTATCCAGTGCTCCTCCATTCAGATGTCTCGCTCCTTGCAGGGGAAGGAGAAGCAGCTGGCCACATTAATGGTTCAATGTTTTTGCAATTGTGTCCAATGCTAACACAGCATTTCTTTGGAAGTGTATCAGCGGTGGGGAGTTTCACCCACGCACGCATAATCTCAGTGCCCTCTTCTGCAAGGTGTAGTCTCACTCAGTTTTCCCTAGTATGGACAGAGAGTAAAGCAATCACAAAAAAATAAATTGTGGGCCAGGCTATGCATAGAAAAAGTTTGAGGAGATAATTGGCACAACTAGTCCAACGTAAAGTTCTCTGTAACAACCTTGTACTTATTAACAGCCGTGCCCTTTTCCTTCCTTCCTGTAAGTCACCCACCCACTGCCATTATGAAATCAAATAGGGATCTAGCACTCATTCTTTGTACTTGTTGAGAAAACATAAAGAGAAGATGAGAAAATGGTCTTGGATTTTTTCAACACATGGCACATTTGAATCTAATCCGGACTCTACTTACACAAATGTGTTCCGCTTCTGCACAGAGGATAACCTGAGTTCTGAAATGCTTGTGTGCACTTAATTCAATTAAAAAATGATAAAGCTATAAGCTAGGAAGGTAGAGGACAAATCTAGCTAAGTTGATGCAAACTCTGTGACCCATGGTGATTAAAAAGGTGGGCTCATCAACTCCGCATATTCTTTATTTTCCCAAACTTTTTCTAGAAAATATCCTGAATGAGACCTCAGGCAGCCAGACACATTCAAGCCAAGTTTTTTTTTTATCTTTTACACTATTTGTTCAGCTTTTTAAAATCTCTGAAAGAGAGGGGCTGTGGTCCAGTTTCACCCCAGCCTCCATCCCTCCCACACATCCTCCATCAGCTCCACCTTGAAAGCCAGAGGTGTATAAAAACCTGTCTCCACTAAAGAATTCAACTGCCCATAAACCTTTCTGGCAAGTTACCCTATGCCTGCCCCCTGAGAGCCACTATTTGAAGTAGTTGAGTCCAGCCACCAAGAAAAACTTCTCCAGGAACAGCTCTGAGTCAAGTACAGCGATGTGAGCAGCACGGCCAATCAGGGTGTTGGCAGTGTTGGGCAGGGCATGAAACACGTTGTGTCGGATTAAAGTGCAGTCCTTGGCAGCCACCAGGGGACCCAGAAGGTTGTTGATCATTTCTGCATAAACCGGTCCTGGAAGGAGGAAGAATGAGAAGCCGGTACAGAAGTTAGCTGTGGGATTTAGAGAAAAACACTGGATGCAGAACATTACAGATCACTTTCTGACCGCCTTGTGATTTTTGTGAAATAAGAGGAAAAAAAAAATCAAACTTCAAAGTCTTTCTGGTGGGTCAGATGATAACATGCAGCGTGAGAAGGGGATTCTACACAGAAGCTCTGTGGGCCCCAGGGATCCAAAGCTACACAGAAGTGGGGAAGGGGCCTCAGTGGATGGCTGCCCTATCACTAGGGAAATGGGAAAAAAAGAAGGGGCTAAACAGAGTCTCAGAAATTCAAGTTCTGTTTCAGGAGACCATGAGGGTTGGGACACATCCCAAGGGAAACATGGACGCAGACATATCCAATGTTATACATCTCCCATACCAACAGCATTCATTGCTTCCCTGACCCTGAGTACTGGGGTGAAGGAGGAGGAAGCACATTTTCACTGTTAGTGATGATGATTTGTCTCAATGGACTCTGACTCTGCTGGGAAAATGAGTCTGTCCCAATTTTGTATCAGACAGTGGGTGTCTTGGAGCCATGCCAGGCCAGTGAGTCACTGATCAATAATTGAGTTTGCATTTCTGAGATTCACACTCCCAGTAATTCACACTCCCGGACTTGCATCCCACCTTTCTGCAACGTTGGGCATGACAGCTTTTACATCATGTAAAGACACCTTCTGGGATGATCCTGAGGGCTAGGATATTGTACTTTTGACTAACTGGGGAGACAGTAACCATCAGTTGTAACATAACCTTCTGGGTCTCACTCCAAATTACAAAGTCTGTTTCACAAAGCCAGTATGACACCCAAATTTTGTACAGTGAGAGGGAGAGTTTTCTGCTGAGTACATTAGCGTCCAGCCAGGCACTCTTCCATACCATCAGCCACACTATGGGAATAAGCCACACTGTTTTCCTTTCACCTCAAGTTGGCAGCAGGGGAAACCATTTCTGGCTCTGCTTTCCAAGGCTGAGGAGGGCAGTGGACACCCCACAACTTCAAGAACAATTGTTTTTATTTTATTTGGCCTCCTTCTTGGTGTCTTAATAGAAGTTTTCAAGCAGAGTATGGTGAAATGTAAAGTGAAATAATCAGGGAAGTGTTTGTGAAAAACACTCTATCCTGACCTTCTTAACTGAGTTAAAAAAGGTGGGGTTAAAATAAAAGTTATGATTCTTGCCAAGTGTACATGACTATGTTTGAATAGTGGCCATTACAGCAAGTAATAACATGCTGAAGGTTTTTATGTCATAAAAATTTTATGCCTAAAGTGTTATTTGGAGGGAAAAAAGAAATCAGTCAAAATTCAGTATCAAGGGAATGGTTAAGTAAGCCATGCTTTAAGGGCTGGTTATGTGGTTTGTGCCCTATAAAATGATGTATATGAATACCATATAATGTCAGTAATAACACATGAATATTGCCAATAGTTTGAAAAGGAAGCATATTACCATTATATAAATACAATCGTTTGTTTAATTTATGCATATAATAAAGGGAGAGATCGTTTTTAAAAGCCAAACAAAAGACAACAAAATATAGTTATTACTCAACCCAATCATTGTTTTGCAGAGATGTTACTGATCCATAAATGCTAAGAAAATCTTCAGTAATTTTTAAAATAATATATAGCCCATCTTGAGTTAATTTTTTTAAGAAAAGCACCTGTTTCATACTGATTAACTTCCAGAGTAGGAGCAAATTATCTACATGAAAATTTAGTGGATAAGTTGGAAAGTGATAGAAAAAACACATGTAGTTGAGAAGCATTTCAATCAAGAATTAAAAAAAAGTAACAGTATTAGTACTTAAAAAACAAAAGCAAAAATCTGTGTGAATTAAACTCCACATCAAGTCTTCCTAAATATTTAAAAACATTCATCAATTAAGTCATATTTCTTTAATAAGAAAGTAGGCGAAAGCCAGGCATAGTGGCACATTCCTAGAATGGCCCAGCACTCTGTTTTATGAAGCCAATATGACACCCCTTGTTTGTACAGTGAGAGGCTTTCTTCACTGAGTACAATAGCCTCAAGTCAGGCCCTCCTCCATATTTTCCTCCATCTTGTGTGAATAGGCCTTCACCAACAATGCAGGAAGTTCTCAAGTCTGTGTGCGGCTGGGGCAACTTAAAAGAACTAGTGAGACTCTGTCTCAAAAAGAGGGGTGTGGGATTGGGAAGCTAGTTCAGTACCAAAGCCCTATGTTCAATTGTTAAATCCTAGTACAGGGCAGAGGGGCAAAGGAATAAAGTAGGCACAGAGGATTGGGATGTATCCCACCGGTAAAGTGCTTATGTACCATATGCAGGTCATGGGTTTAATCACCAAGAAAAGGAGGGGGGCAGAGAAACAGAGACAGAGAGAAACAGAGACACAGAAACAGAGTCAGAGACAGAGACACAGAGACAGACAAAGGCAAACAAGCAAATGCCCACATAAGAAAGAATTTTGCAGATCTATCAGCAATGGCTATGTCTGATCACATATGCAATTAAAATCAGATCATTGAACTCAATGAACCTTTGTTCGTCGGTGCAGATGTTACAGTGGGACTCTGTCCCAGGGACAATCAGAAAAACTAAAAATGGATAAAAATTTATATAAGAAAAAACATCAACACTTGAAATTTCAAGCTGAAAAATGATTAGCAAATATCATTAGTACTTAATCTCAGAAATACCCTCATTCCAACAGTACAAATATTACTATGTAATTATTTTAGGATCTGTTTAGCAAAAATCTTCAAGAGCACTCACTTATTAATACTTTTGCTCCAATAATGTGTAACTAGGAATCTATTTCAATAAAAAGTTAGAGATTGATAGAAAACATACTCACAAAGTTTTTCACCACAATATGCTTCAAAAATTTTTTTAAATATCTGGAAGCAATAGGTATGTGTAATAATTGAAGCATTAATAATTAAATTATGACATATCTATAAATAAAGTATAATTATAGAAGATAATTATGCCTGGTTTTAGCATCAGAAAATGAACATGATGTCAAGCTACACTAGATCATAGACAAAATCATGATTTTCAACATGACACAGAAGAAGACTGGAAGAAAATATGAAGGTCGAACAGTGGTAGAGGTAGAAAAAGATGTAACTGCAAAAGTTGAAATAGATTTGACTTTTTCAAATTTCCTATGAGGTATTCTCACTAAAGGAGTTTCATTTTGTAATGTACCTCAGTTTACTTTTCAATACATGTATAAGGCAGTAAAAATAAAATTCTACTATAATATATTAAAATTCTCTTTTTAATCTCTTACATCAAAATTTCCAACAGAAATTTAGAATGTACTGCTTCTATACATTAGTAACAAACTTTTGGATCTTTGGTAGGTTTTTCTTAAAAGTCTTAAAATGCAAAGAAAAATGCAATTTCCTAAAACAAAAAAATCAAAATGCTTAATGTAGAAATAAGCTAATTAATCAAAGGAAACAGGGAATGCCAGCTCATCTTCCCGTTCTGGTGGCCTAGAAAATTCCTATCTAAAAGACAACTCTGTTAGCTCCAATGATCCTTGCCTGACTCAGGCCTAGGCCCTCTTCCACTCTGGTGCTGTCCTGTGCATCATAACCCCCTTGCTGTTTGCCTTGTCCTATGGGGCTGGCACTACTATTGCTCCTGCAATGCCCAAGCTGGGTGGTGAGTCTTTGAGGTTCTGTCCATCTTCTACTCAACGGCTGGCTCACAGAAGAAGCTGAGGGATCCTTCTATGATCTAATAAATCTGTGACTGTGGATTGCACAAAGGTGTGACCAAGACAACAACTCATAAGCTATGTCCGCCCTGCCACTCAGTCGTAGGAGAAATACACACTGTGCAACCCAGAGCCAGCTTTCCCTAATCAGTGTAGTGCACGTCATGAATTTATTTTTGCTTCTGAGATCAGGAGGAATTTAAAGGTGTGAGATGCGGCTTACCTGTGTGCCTGTCTTTGAGAGCAGTTTTGCACATTTCGATCCTGGCTGAGTGAAATGGCACATAGCGGTCTTGGGGGGAAGCAACCAGCACGACATTCTTAAAATACTGCAGCCCTGGAACAAGAGGCAAGGTGAGGGCTTCTCCCCCAGGAAGTTTCACCTTAAATATACTCTGGTTTGGTCTGCACACATAACAGACTCCCTCCAGAGAGGGCAAAGTGAGGCCATGCCAGACACTGATAGGTTGCTATGGAGGGGCCTCGGTCCTCAGGGCTAAGGATGCATAACCCACACAGAGGCCAGCAGGTGCCTGTGAGAAGGAGAGGACAGAGGCTCTATTCTGGTGCCCTGATACTCGAGAGGAAAATGAAGTCTTTGCTCTCATCACTCTTGGAAGCTAAGGAGACACATAGCAAGCTAGTAAGAAAAAGTGGTGAGTCTGAGGTGTGACTGAACACTACAGTGCACAGTTAAATTTTAAAAAAGTAATTATAGCAAAAGATACACTGCTATTAATCCCCATCAAAATACTCTTGCTCCTTTCAGACACACGCCACAGTTCTTGTCACGTTCTGAAGCAGTCCTCTTTCCTGAGTACCTTTAGTTGTGCTTATTGTAGCTGCCTCGATGTTCCAAACTGATTCAACACATTTACCTTTTATGGCCATTTTTGACTTTGGGGAAGAGTCAGAAGTGGCATGGTGCCAGATGCAGTGACGAAACTGCATGGAGTCACACAATAATGCTCTCACCCGCCTGTCTTTCCATCAGATAGCACTTGGCCACAGCATTTGCTTTATGTTTTACCACTCCTCATAAAAACACTCACAAGGAGTCTAAGATTCATCATTAGGTTGTTTATTTGAGCTCGCTCTGTTTTCCTAGTGTGGGCATTCAGTGCTATGAATTTTCCACATCGAACTGCTTTCATTGTGTCTCACAGATTCCTGTATGTTGTATTGGCATTTTCATTTATATGTAAAAACTGTCTAATTTCTTCTTTACTTTCCTCTGTGATAAAATGAACATTACTCAGCCATAAAGAACAAGAAATTAGATTCATTCATAGGGAAATGGATACATATTGAGGATATACTCCTAAGTGAAATAAATAGGTCACACATGTGTAAATATCAAATAGCTTCTCTGGTGTGAATAAACTGTAATAGTACATAAGATCCTAATGAGATAATTGACATTGTGAAATGGGAAGAAAAGGGCTAAAGGTGTAGGGAAGGTGGGATGGGTAAGGGAAAGATAATAAGGGAAAAGAAAAAAATGTGAGAAAATGAAAAGATGGAAATAAAGTGTTTGTAAATGGGGGGTTGAAGGGAGGTCAGGGGCAAGGGGGGAAAATGAGAACCAAGACCTGTCATGTAGAGGTACAAGATCCCAACAACGAATGTAACTGTACTGTATCCCTAAAATGTACCAATAAATTCAATTTAAAAGAAAAAAAAACACTCACAAAAGAGGACTTCCAGAACTGCTCTGGGAAGTGCCAAGAACAATGGGATAACTGTGATCATAGTGTGTGTGGGGGGAGTGTTTTAAGGAGCATTAATGGCAATTTGTGTTTTTACTGTAATACATTTTTTTCAATTTAAAGCTCACTGTGTATTTTTATCACTGCTTAGAAGAAGAGAGGAAGGATCTGACCCCACCACACAAAACCTGTAGCAACAGGGTCCCATCCAGTCTTCACGTATGTAAGTCGATCTGTACCCGGTGAAGCTGGCACACAGAGCCTGGATCTATGTAATTCAAACGTGAACAGACTGTCTGGAAGTGGAAGCTGTAGCTCCTGGGGTCACAGTGACCCTTTACACATCCCGGCTCTCCCCTCTCATGGGCTGTAAAGGCCAAGAGATGCTGAGCTCCTGGAGGTTGCTGGGCTCCTAATACATTGGGGAGACTGTGCTTGCCAGATCTCCCATACTTAACGTGAGTGGATCAGCACGGCATCAGAGATTGTTTGTGTCTTAGGAGTTGAATCTGGAGCTAAAACTCATGAGCACAGCTGCAGATGGACATGCTCACCTGTTTTTTGGCTTAGTTGGTAGAGGAAACATTTGCGCAAATCAGCATTATCCCTGAAAGTCAGCTGCAGAAGAGACCCAGATTTCTTCAATTTCTGCATGAGCCACAAGCCTAGGAAGGTAGAACAAAGCACAAATAAAAATGCAGGACAAAGCAAAAACAAAAGAGCGTAATTCTTAGTTAAAAATAAGTGTATTTTAAGCAAATATTTGGGAAGTTAGAGGTAAATTTGTAAAATCATCCTGCAAAATGATGGCGAGGGGCTGTCAAAGTTCTGAAACAATACATATCCTTTGATTCATTCAGTCCCCTGAAAGGAAGCCGAAAGACCCTGGTGTGAAATATATAAGAATGCTCCTCCTCGGGGCTGGGGATGTAGCTCAGTGGTGCCTGGCAAAAGCAAAATCCTGAGTTTGATCCTGTTATTGGCAAAAAGAAAAGAATGCTTCTCATAGGTCCATTGAGGATACTGGAAAACTAAAATAAACATCTCAGAACCAACACATTTAGCCCTGCTCTTGTAGATATTAACATTGATGACAGCAAGTACTGCTGTAATATCAAATAAACTTGATTTTTAAAAAGGCAGTAAATAAGATTCAAATGTGTGAAAAGTGGAACGGGCTATCTAAATGGAGGAGCCATTGATAACATCTCCTGTTTTAACTTTTTGTGATGTTCCAAGATTATAATTGTGGAGCAAAGTAGTTTCATTCACATGTTTCTGTCAAAAGCTGGCTTCTTGAGTTTGTGAGGAAAGTCCGAATAGTAGAGGGTCTGCCGCCTGCCTCGCAAGCACAAGGACCCGAGTTCAATTCCTGGTACCAAAAAAAAACAAAAAAAAGCAAAACAAAAATAGTAGAGGAGAAATGTTGTATTCATAAGGTATCATAGCACAGAATAACTTATGTTCACAAATTACATCCTTAGACTAACTTTCATGAAAAAAAATGTACCTGCCCCATGTATTGAGGAAGCCATCTGGATGTACAAAGCAGCTGGAAAAGCAAGGCAGGTGGCTGAAAGACTGGCAGAGAGAGGATGGCCCACCTATTAGAGCTGCCTCTCATGCCACATGGTGGATTTGGACAATCAGAAATGATTAAGTATTTATTAGGAACTTTTTTGTTTTGTTTTGTTTTTTGAGACAGGGTCTCAATACATAGTTGAGACTGACCTGGAACTCACTATGTAGCACAGGCTTGAACTCACAGAGACCCTCCTGCCTTAGCCTCCCAAGTGCTGGGATTGCAGGTGTGCATCACACCTAGCTAGGAATCTATTTTAATATCCTATTTACTACTCTAGAAGACCCAGTGAATTATATGTGCTTCCAAACCCCAAGTCATGCCACTTCCTCAGTTAAAACCACACTGGAAACTTTGATGAGGAAGGCTAACATCTTGCCACATCTGGCAAGATCCCTCCTCTGGCTCTTCATGCTTCCTTCAGTGACTGTCTTGTGCCCCTGCTGAGCATGTTGCATTTCTGTTGCAAAGAACTGCCTGCAGTACACTGATTACACCACGCTCCTACTTTCCATCAACCATTACTTCCGCATATGAAATTCTCCCAGCTATTCACTTCCTCTTTTCATAATTCATTGGACCTTCATTCTTTTTTTTTTAAATTTTATTGAGTTTATTGGTACATTTTAGGGATACAGTACAGTTACATTCATTGTTAGGATCTTGTACCTCTACATGACAAGTCTTGATTCTCATTTTTTCCCCTTACCTCTGCCCTCCCTTCACCCCCTCCTCCCCTCCCCATCTACAAACACTTTATTTTCATCTTTTCATTCTCTCACATTTTTTTCTTTTCCCTTTTTGTTCTTCCCCTACGTATCACACCTTCCCTACACCTTTAGCTCCTTTCCTCCCATTTCTAAATGTCAGTAATCTTATTAGAATCTTATGCATTGTTGCAGAATATTCACACCAGGGAAACTATTTGGTATTTACACATGTGTGACTTATTTATTTCACTTAGGAGTATATCTTCAATATGTATCCATTTTCCTATGAATGAATCTATTCTCTCGCTCTTTATGGCTGAGTAATATTCCATTTTATAGAAAAACCACAACTTCTTTATCCAGTTTCCAACGGATGGGCAAATAGGCTGTTTCCAAGATTTAGCTATTACAAACTGTGCCGCTATAAACATGGGTGCACATACTTCTCTATGATATGATTCTTTTAGTTCTCTTGGAAAGATATCCAGCAGAGGGATGGCTGGGTCAAATGGAACCTCCATGGACCTTCATTCTTTAGCATTTCAATCTCTGTCCCTTACAGCACAGAAGAAATTATGATTGCCTCCAAGCTGGGGAGGAGCAAGGAATATAGCATTCAACTGTATTTGTCCATTCATAAATGATGGCTAAATTATTTTTTACTCCTTCAGTTTAATAAAAATTTAATGTTATGCATATGCATATAGCCACACACACACACACACACACACACACACACACACACACGATGCAGATTCAGCCTTCTGTACAAGTGGGTTATGCATCTGCAGACTGAACCAATGGGATCAAAACGTTTTATAGAAAGCCATATCTGTACTGAACGTGGTTAGACTATTTTTTCTTGACTTAGTTTTCCCTTAACAACACCCTAAAATAATTATTTTCACAGCATCCGCATTGTAATAGGAAGTATAGGTAGTCTAGAGATGACTCAAAGTATGCAGAAGGGTGTGCATAGGCTGTACGAAAACACGATGCTATTTAATATAAAGAATGTGAGCACCCTTGGCTATTGGTACCTGTGGAGAGTCCTAGAACCAATGTCCCACAGATTTGGAGGAATGATTATATGCCTACCCATATCAGATCCATTTATACTAAGATGCATAAGTACACAATATGCGTACATATGCCCCAAACATATGGTGTATAATACATCACAAAATATGGCATTGAAAATGTTTTTATAATGTATTACATCTAAAGACACCGACATTAATCCCCTTAAAATACTTCTCCTTGCTCCAAACACACTTAACACATCATTCTCGCTACTTTCTGAAGCAATTCTGGAATTCTTCTTTCTAAAGTACCTTCAGTTGTCTGCCTCCTTGTTCTGAATTGATTGAAAATATTCATGAGAATTGATGTGAAGTGGTGAATTCCCCCCGCCTTTATTCACCGTGCTTTGTGATCACATCTCGTACACTCACACATGATCTTTATTTTACAATATATTAACTAAGTAGGACCTATTCTATTTAAGCATCCTTTGGCCTTTCCTAGATATTGGCTAACTTCTCCCAACCAGAACCCCAAGCATATCACATTCTTCTTCACAGGAGTTTTAAGGTAGAAGTAATCTTGGAAAATAACTGCCTAACTTCACTCGGCTCCCAAAGGAAAGGGTCATATCTCTCAGCCCAGGTTTCTCTCCACCATCCCCAGCTTAGAAGAGGCTCTAAAATCACAGATCTCCCTGGAGAAGGTCTTCTGCCTCCCGTTTCCAGTCCCTGATGCCCACATTAAGCCTGAGGCATGGCGGGTTGGGGGACACTCACCTGTACTGACGAGCGTGCTGTTGTTGTACAGGGTGCCCAGGTGAGGCCCAGACAGTGACAGGAACGTGTGCAGCTTGTTGAGGTAATACCGGAAGCGGGGCCGTGTGAGGACTGACCGGATGATGATGTTGCCCAGAGAATGGCCGATGAAACTATTGGAGACAGAAAGAGTTCACGTGAGTGTGACAGCAAGGGCTGCTGCCAGGCCCCCACTGGATGCAGGCCCTGGCAAGGAAAACAGACATTGCCAGTTCTTCTTCCTCTGGTCTCCAAAATAGGGCCATGTTCAGAAAACAGGGCCTTCATGAACCGTAACTGCGCCAGCATGGCCAGAGAGAAGCATGGGCATTTTGCCTAGCTCTCTATCATCAGCACAGTCTCCCCTCCCAGCTGGACCCTGCACCTCCTCCTCCCAGTCCATCTGAGTGCTAACAGGCTCCTTTTTGAAATCCACACCTGAGTATTGAGCACTCCTGGCCATTTACAGGATAAAATTTCAACTTCTTATCCTGGCCCATGAGGCCATTCATAACCTGACCTCTAGCTCTTCAGTTTTTCTGACTGTCTCGTTACTGTGCATATTTATTGAGCTGCCTGTTCGCTGCTCACACTGAGTTTGATCCCTGAACTCTGCACTCCACTGAAGCCAAACTGATACTCACAGAAACATGGACTGAATAAATTCTTGCTTTTCAACTAAACAACTATATATTGCAACTTGATTATAAGAGTACGACTTTGCATCCTTTCTGATGGTAAGAATAAAACCAGTAGAGAAAATAAATGTGTGTTAGTTTATGAAATTGCATGGCTTAGTTTGTGTCCTTTCATTTTTACCAAAACTTTATAGGTAAATGATTTGGTAAATTTTCAAATCCTCAATAGTAGAATAAAGAAGTGATGTTTTATTTCTGAAGACTAAGTTTGATAAGGCATATTGAGGGCTTAGCCTTATATCTATATGCTCAAAAAATGCAGACTGTTTCCTATGACCTCAGTCATTTAAATAGGTAGGCCAGGTTTTTTGTTACAGAACTGAGGATACAGTTAACATTGATTAAAGCTCTTCTACTGGGCAGGCAGCTCATTTAGCTTTTAAACACGTCTCCTTTCAATTATTAACAAGAAATACAGGCTCAGAGATACAGATTGCTTGCAAAAAGTTACTCACACCATACATGATACAGTCAAGGTTTGTATCAGAACAGGAATTTAAACCTAGGGATTGTTGGTTCAAGTGCAATACTCTTTCGATGGAGCAACAGAATATTTATTCTCCCAGCTCATATTTTGACAGGTGGCCTGTGTCCACCACCACTGATACTCACTCCTGCCTAAGGGCAATAGCCACATCAAAATCACAAGTTAAGTTATCCCAGTGGTTAACAGAATGCATCATCCCAAAGTTGTACACAACAAGCACTCAAGAAAGATCACCCCTCTTCCCTCAGCATTAACTACCTGTGGTTTCCTTTTACCTAATTCGGGATATGGAGAGGTTGTACAATTGAATGTGTTGAATGATTTCATCTAATAACCGATCCGTCATGGTATCAAAATCTGCAAATGTGTCCATCTGGAAGAAGAGAGAGGAAAGGGTGTTGGGAGAGGCCATGGCCCCAGCCACTCTTTGTACACAAGCTGTCGCCTGCCATTGATCATCACGGGGCATCCTGGTAGTGGGCTCAGATCTTATGCTGGCAATATAGGTTGAGATCCAACCTCGGGGCCAAAGGTCCACAAAGTGGGGCTCTAGTGAATAAATAAAGTGTTGCTGAGGAGCTGGGAGTGTGAGGCAGAAGAGCTGGAGGAGATTCTCATTCACGCAGGGCCTGCAACCGCATCTCATGCCCAGCGTACCTTACTCGCCTATGGGTTCTGCAGTACACTTCACAGAGGAGGACACAGGCTCCGGGATGGGAGGCCACACACTCAGCTCCCATGAGCTGGGACCTACAGCAGACAAACTTGGCTCCAAAGCCCCTGCCTTCAGCCTGCTCAGCCTTTGGGTTGTGCTACAAGGCTATGTCCAGAGGGAAAGCATCAGCTTTAAATGCCCATTTCAGCTGCCAGGCCCAGCTGAAGATGGGGATGGAAGTACAAGTAAGTAGATGTAGGGTCACTATTTACAAATAAAATTGTCCTCATTGCTGGAGTTGAATAACAATGTCCTGGACTGCCTGCACAGGAGCTGAGCATCAAGAAACGTGAACAAGCGATCTCATGAATATTTATCAGGGTGTCCAAAAAAGAGAGCACATTTTAGGGAAAGCAGTAGAAAAGAGAAGGTCATTAGGTTCCTGTTGCCTGCCATCCAGCAAACCTTTAGGAGCAGGCGAGAAGCAGACATTGGTAGGTCACAGAGATTCCATGGGCTAAGAAGGGTCCCTGTTTGCTGCTCCTGTCCCCATGGGACTTTGGATGGGATCTGTGGCTTCCCCAATCAAAAGCAAAGTCTTATCTATTAAACAGGGAGACTGCAACCAACTTATTGACATCATTTTAAAGACTGAATAAAATACACATAACTCTCTTTAGACAGATGCTGCTATGCCCATCACCCTCTTTCTTTTGGGACCCATTTTCTCATTGGTAAGCTATCCACTGAATGTATTATTTGAAGAATGATTGCAATTATTGGGCCTGAGGTGACTGTGATGAGAAGCAAAATGATTAACTCCTCAAGCAAGTGTTAAAGAGGAATATGACAAATGGGCCCACTTAAAAGATTTCAACACGGCACATGTAACAGATGCAGTCAGCACTGAGGGGCCAAGCCTTGACTGAAGGGCCTTGTAACAGAGGCCCAAGTTTCCTCAGCATCCAGACTGAGTCTACATGTCAGGAGGCAAGAACTAGAATGGCTGGATGGACACAGGGGAAGGGTATTACCTGACCAGACCCTTCTAACTAACTGTACTCATCTGCCCTGAAAAAAAAGAGCCTTACTTGGAGAAGTCAAGAATAAAGCCAGTGAACACTGGCCACTTGCTTCCCTGCTCTTTTCTGTGAAGTCCCTGGGCAAACTCTCTTAGGATTGGATCCTTCGTGCTTCCTCCCCAGGTCCGACTGACAATGAAAGTCTACGTAAACCCCAGAATCTCCCCATTCCCTCTTCTATAAAGCGACGGGGAGGTGTCAACAAGCAATAGGACAGTGGTGGGTATGAAATGAAGAGGCAGGAATAGTGTCCTGCTCGGGGTAGGTGCTCACATAAACATTCTCTTTATGTTCTTGATGTTACACTTTTCACTTGCGGCACCTGCTGAAGCTTCTGCAGGCCTTCAGTGTGGGAGGTGTCAAAGAGCAGGCGACACAAATGGGCCCTGACAGTTGAAGAGGAGACGTGACCTTCCATGATTCTCCATCCAACTGCCATGCCCAATTGCCAGTGGGACCCTTCGCTCACAAACAGCTCCATTCTTCCAGGTATTACTTGGGATTCATCTCTCTCAAGTTCCATGAGGGTGAAAATCAACAGCAACTCCAGAGTCGCTGAAGTGTCACTGACCCCGGGCATCTGACTAAGGCCTCAGGCTCCATCTACCTTTGAATGGGAATGGTTCCCATGGTCACCCCTGACTACAAAGCAATCAACCTACTTCTTTGGTCATGGAGATACAAGTGAGAAAGCCCTGCCTTCAGTGTGGATCCACCGACAAATAATTGATGTTGTACAGATCACTCCCACCCCAATTCCCTGTCAGGTTAAAAGGCTCCAGCCAGTGATTCACATGTTCTCATTCCTTATTCGTTCCTCACCCTGCAAAAGGAAAACAACACGTTGCTGTCTCTAAATTTTCCAAGGGCCTTGCCAGTATCGGCAATATCGCCAGTACTGGATCTGCAAGATCCCCTCCTATCTCCGTGTGTCCCCAGATCACCAGGGATCCCTCGGGGGTTCATCGGAGCTCACTTGCCATGTTTGCTCAAGCCCGATTTTTGTTTGTTTACTTGTTTTTATCATACCTGATTCTTCTCAGACATTAGGAAATCCAGCTTCCCTCCAGGGAGCCCCAGTTCTATGAAAGTCTTTACCAGCCGGAGGTCCGCACTATTTCCTAAAAATGACAGATAACCCCCCACCCCAGCCCCACAGTTAATCAAGGAGAAGGCGAAAAGAGAGATTTCTGTCTCATTTCCTTCTTCCTCCATTGGCTTTGGCTTTTCTTCCATTATTTTTAAAGCAGATAATAAAAATAGAAAAACAAGTCCACCCCCTGCTTGCCCTGCCTCCTGTGCACACACAGACCCACAAATGTGACTCCTTCCAGGGTCCTTCCAAGTAGTTCTGCTCAATGGAATTATGTCCTGACCTACTAAGGTGTGACTCGGAAATGTTCCGTAGGCGGCATAAATTGAGCCCCCCCCCCACACGGGTCCTCCTCCTTCAGTGTATGCTGCATGACCAGCACTTTATATGCCTGTGGCGCCACCTAATGGCCGATGGGTACAACGTGAACTCAGCAAGTCCCTTCCCATTAATACAAGGAAGATCTATCTGTGCCATTAGCAGGCAATTGGTGAACTCCTGGAAGAAGGGAATCAGGGTGCAGTTGTCTAATAGAGTAAGACTCTCTCCTGGGCAAGGAGTCCTGGAAAAGCAAGCTGCATGGATGTTCAGTTTCCTCACTGGGGTAAAGCAGTGAGAGGTTAAAAATCCAGGCCAGTTACTAACAGCACAGAGAATGCACTTCTGATATTTAAAAAAATCATATGAAAAATAGATCTGATGCAACAGAATATGTGTTTAGAAATAAGTTTCATGCAGCTCATGGTGGTTAAACTGTATCTAAGTGAATTTTTGGCCTATTCCTCAACTGGAGCCCTGTAGAGTTGGAAGTTAGAAGCTATTGCTTGGCCTCCTGAACTTACCTGCTTTACCACAGGACTAAATCCCAAGGTTACACTTTTAAATAATTTCTGAGATATAGGTGAAATTACAACTAATTTTATGTGATTCTTTATGAAACTTCCCGATGATTAAAAGGAGGGGAAAAGAGCCACACTGAATTAGGAGGAATCAAGGTTTGGGATGCCCCTGACCTTAGAGGGTGACTTAGCATGCTTGAATGCCACCCATCTTGGTGGCCTATTGCAGCATGCACCCAAACCTGGAGGGTCATAGTCACAAAACCATCATGCTCTTTTTGTGTGTATTTTTGTATTTTAATGCAAAATTTTATTAATTTCTTCACTCACTTCAGTCAGTAAAATTATGTTGTTTCGTCACACTCTTTTTTTTTAAGTTCCCTAATATCATTCTGAACATAGCCTTCAAAAAAGTACCAAGCTTCTGTATTTAACATAAAAAGTTTAAGGAATAAAAATGTACCCCTCTCTTCTCCAATATGGTTGGAAAGAGAATGTTCTGAAACTTAAAATATTTTCAGAAAAGGTGATTTAATAATATGTTAAATTGAGGATGCTTATAAGAATGTAAATCTTCAACTTTCTGCACAACATGAGCTGTGTCAATATTCATAACTGTTATCAATGGGCTCACTTCTCTGGAAATAAAATTTGAACAGTCAGTCTTATAAAATTCTGAAGACCTCGGAAGAATACAATTTGAACTGGAGAAATAACCTTCAAAAGAGACCTGTGTGTGGTACGGGTTGTCTCCCAGGCGACTTGTTGCCCCAGTGATGAAGTATTGGGTAGTTCAGGGCATTGCTGCAAAACTGCTCTGTCTTTATAACATCCTTCTGCTTTCATATGCATGATGGAAGAAAGCCACAATTAATTGCCTGATCGGATTTCTTACTTTAGCAAAGAACTGGAGTCTTACTTCCTTGTAATTTAATATGGCCTAAGTGAAAGGCAGTATTTCAGCAGATGAGTGAGAGGGCTGCTCGTTGTTCTTACAAACTCTACAACTTGGTAGAGTCTCTGGCACAGGAAAGGGGTCCCATCACTGAAAGGAAATTAGCCATAGGCAACAAAATAGCTTTCGGTCACTACCCTGACTCCTCAAAATGAATCCATCTATTCTACTCCAGGTCTTCCTTTATGCATACCGTTCTACTGACTCATGGATTCCATTAATTCCTTCATTCTGGTTATCCATGGGTTTCATTGATATATTCATTCCAGTAAGACATTCACTTCCTTCACTCAAGCCATTTATTTCTTATGTGTAACATTCACTTCATTGATTATTCCAATTATTCCTTTGTCCTATTTATCTACTAATTTATTCAACTCATGCCGTCACCACATCCATTGATTTGTGTATTTCATTTTCTCAACAGATTACTGGTGCCTCAAATGCATGTTCTTATAGAACAAAGCTGTGCCATTTCCCTAGACTTATCAGAGTAACTCTTTTACAGCTTCCACTGAATCAGCTTTCAATAAGTGATTTATCTAAATTAATTTGCAAATATTGTACATTTTATATACCATATAATGTTGAGGAGGAAACTTGGAACTCACCGTCCAAGCCATGAACACAAACTACCAGGTGAATCCCATCTTCCAAGTTCTCTTCCTCCTCCTCTGGTGGGAAATACGGAGTATCAGAAGCCAGCACAGACAAGTCGCTGTACAGAAATCCTTCAATCTTCAGTTCTTTTTTAAATTTTTCTTTGGCCTGATAAAAACTGGAGAATATGCTAATTAATTAAAAGCAAAGCTGTGTACTGCATTGAGCAGGAAATGTGTTGGGCTGGTAAGTAGGAGTGACGAGCTTCCACCAGCCAAGCGTCTGCTGAGTGCCAAACACTAAATAAAACCTTGCTGAAGATCCTAGTGAGTGATGCTGGGTTCTGAAAATGAAGGCAGGAAAGGACTCCCCTCCAAATCAAAGGGCTTTAGTTCTTCACATTTCTACGCAGATCCTATGGTGAACAGGAGACAAGACAATGGGATAGCTCCAAGGATCCAAAATTCTCTTTATGGAGTGAAAGCTCTTTCTTCTGACCCACAAGACCACCATGGGTTGCCCTCCATCTGCTTTTCCAGCACTGTTCCTGACCACTCCCTTTCTCTAACACATTTCTATAATCCCCATAATCTTGGCTTTACTTCTGTGTGCCTCGGCAAATGCAGTTCTGGATGCCAAGTTCTTCTCCCTCCTTGCTATTACATTCTCTACCGGGTTACCTGACATGATGCTGTTTAAGGACATGGCTTTAGAATCAGATTGCTGAGGGCAGAATCTTGGCCTTGATACCTCTTACCTGCTACCCACTGAATGTGACCTCATCTGAAATACCTGGGACCAGAAGAGTTTTAGATTATAGTTATTTTTCCAGATTTGGGAATATTTGCATATACATAATATCTTGGGAATGGGACCCAAGCCTACATATGTAATATACTTTTGGTTTATATATACCAATAGACATAGCAGGAGGGTAATTTTATACAATGTTTTTAATATTTTGGGGTACGATGCAATTACATAGTGTAAACTCTTCCTCTTGTGCCACCATGTCAGTGCTCAAAAAGTTTTTCATTTTAAAAGTACAGACTGAGGATGGGACTTAGTAATAGAATGCTTGCCTACCATATGCAAGGCCATGAGTTTAATTGCAGCACTGAAAAAAATACCTGGTAAGTAAAGTTTTGGATTTTGATATGGATAGAGCATATCAGAGTTTGGATTTTCAGGTTAGGAATGTTCAACTTGTATTATATGTTATTAGCCATATCATAATTATCATCATCATCATTAACCTCACTGATTGTTTTATTTTCCTTTGATAGAGATGTCACCTTGCAAAAGCTTTTCCTAGCCACCATCCCTATTGACAGTCATTGCCTGCAGCCACTTTTCCTTTTTCATTCTGGCTGACTGTACACCCATGAATCATTACATATACCTACCCTTGCCCTCATCGACTTCTCTCAAACTTCTGGCTGTCTTTTGGACTGTGAGTATCATAATATCCTGGATAACTCTGCCCCAGGAATGGACAGTGTCTTCTATATACATGGTGACTTGATGACAAGTGCTGCATTATAGGCATTAAATACTCTTTACACGACCAAAAATCCAACATATACCTACCTGTGAAATTTCTTTAGGGGAAAACCATGAACATTTCCCAAAAGAATAAAATGATTCTATTGTATACAGCCTGAAGTGCATAGTTTACAAGTGCAGGAACAATATGAATATGAACCCAACACAGGAGGGAAAGGACTCTGGCATTGTGAAAGAAGCAGTGACTTTAAGAACTCCAAAAACAACCCAAATTTGCTAACAAAGTCCTATTCCCTCAAAGGCTCTTTAAAAATTCCCCTCTCAAAATGTACAAAGACAGAGTACAATGATATTCACAAAAGAATGCACTGTAACAATAATAGAACAAAGTTTAAATGTCCATCTATAAAAGATTCAGTTAATAAATCATGGCACACCTGCACACTGGGATACAGTGGAAACATTAAAGTGGTGCAAAAATAAATTTACAAACATAAGAAGTTCTTTCAACATATCATTAAATTGAAAAAATATGAATCCAGGAACTGTTAAAATAATCTTATTTTCCATAAAAACATAGATCTGGAGGCACATAGAAAGTGTGGAAGCTGTTACGGTGAGAGGTTCATTTGTTCATAATCTTTATCTCTTTATACTATTCAACATTTATGATTTGTATGATATGGATATCATTTAAATGACATGCATATTACTTATATGATATGCATATTCGATTAAATCAGAAAATAACAAACATTAATTTTTTAAATAGAAGGTATGCAATTGAGCAATCAGTAGAGTGACCTAAATGACCATTCTGGAACAAGTGTGCCATCTTCAAACTTACCTGAACATCCTTTCACTGACTTCATCCTCCAATTTGCTAGAATGGGTAGAAATGACTCCAAAGGAACCCAAAGGTTGATGGGTGATAGGAACTGGTGTCTGTTTGGAAGAGAATCCAGCCCTGGCAGGGGTCTCCTTGGGCACAGAGGAGAAAGGGAGACATGTGGCAGTGCAAGACAGGGATAAGTTGACAACCTCCACAGCCTTCAGGCTGTCCAGAGTAAAGGTCTCTGTAGGGGTCAGGTGGGACCCCAAGATGGAAGTTCCTCCCTTTGGCTCCTGGTTTCTCAAAACAGGAGAGGGAGTGGAGTGAGTCACAGTGGGGCACACAGTACCAGCTTCATGTTCAGTCTCCAGAGAGGCATCAGGTTCTCTGTTCAACATTGTGTCATCAATGAAGCAAGGTGAACTGCATTGCTGGCCTGCAGAATTTGGGTGGATGGCATTGGCCGCTGATGGACAGCTGAATTCAGGCACCTTATGGTGAGACATCTCCCCAACCTCTGAGATGCTGCTGTTGGACAGATTGTGTTTGCCCACATTCAAGTCTTTAGGTCTGCCCTTTGGGGTTTCCATTAGTCCTCTTTGGAAAAACCTGGTCCTTGTATTTTCAAGTACTATGGTGTGCGGTATTTTTAAGTCAATACCTTTGGTTTCAACACTTGGAGTGCTCTCAGGTCTGCCATCCAGAGAACAGCCTCCATCAGCATAAGACTGAGTCTCTTTGCCTTTGGGGATGTCCATGTAACCAGGCCCCTGCTGTTTCTCAGCATCTAAATCTACTTCCACCAGTGAATGGCCTTCCTCATCATCCTTGGTTTTGGAGCCACCAGAAGGTTGAGAACTGTGTTCAGGGGAAATTTGGCTCATGCTGTGCATATCTGAAGCTTCAGCAGAGCCTCGCTGTTTCTTCGTGACATCTGCACCCTCAGCAGGATCTTCTGGGCTGCTAATCTGAGGTGCAGATGCAGACTTGGTTAGCTTGGTGAGTGCTAACTCTCGCTCCTCCTCCTCAAAAGGCAAGGAGCTGATGGAGGTAAGAGAAGCCTGGATGCCACTGGGCAGGCTTGTGTTACTCTCTGTGTGGCCGCCCTCTAAGGAGTTCCTGTGCAGGGCATACCTCCGAGCCAGCTGGTGCAAGACTTCCCGGTCACTGGGTAACTCCAGGGCCCTGCTTCGAGCTTCTGACCAGGCCACCGAACTTGGTTCGCTCTCAATGCCCGAGTCAGATATGATGGAGGAAGATCTCTTGATAACCCCAGAAAGCACTGACAGCTCCTCCTGCTCTTCTGTATGAGGGTCCTGCAGGGAAGACCTGACATCCAAGGGTGCTCTCAGAGTGGAGCTAGGGGCGTCACAGTGCTCAGGAGGTGTGAGCTTCAGGTTCAGCAGCCCTAGTTTTTCCTCCCGGTCTGCTCCCTTTCCTAGAGTATGCAGCTCAGGGAGGGCTGTTTTGTCTGGAGAGATAGCATCTTGGTGATTTCCACCTGCTGCCATTTTGCTTGGCACGATCCTCTCAAAACTGTTCTTGTCTCTGGAGCTTCTTCTCTCATAATGAACACTGAGGAGTTCCATGGGTTCAGCTCTGTGTGGGTTCTTATTGCTGCATTTCACATCAATGTAGGTCAGTCCCGGGGCCTGCCCATCCTCTGGGCCCAGGTTCCTAGGTGTGTCCCCCTCTGCGGATGGGTATGTTCCAACATCAGACCCCTGACCAGTCCAACATTCATCTTCAGGCACTCCTGCTTTATTCTGGAATTCACCAATTGTCAGATACACCTCAGATTCGAAGCACATGTCCACCTGGTTTTGTGTGGTCACATTCTCTCCTGGCTCTGGACACCTACTAACTTCTTCCTCAGAGCCCATTTGGATTGGTTTCATCGTAGACAAGACAAGGCCTTCCTTAAAAGATGATTTTGCATTTACAATATGGTTTTCTTCTTTCTCTTTTAGGTCCATTATTGTAGGGATTGTTGCCGGAATGTCAAAATTAGGATAAACACTCAAACTATGTCCTGCAAAAAAAAAAAAAAAAACAGAAAAGAAAATTGGAAAATTGTATTATAATTTACAAATACAGTGGTACCTCCTCAGTTGATGAACTTATTTTTTTTTTAGTTTGGCATTATAACATTTATTAAAATAATGCTATGAGTTAATAGAAACAGCAAAGAACCAAAGAATTAAAATGCAAGCTATGTAAAATTCTAACTAAAACCCAAAAGCGTCTAATGCATTCATTCATTAGCTAACTAAAAGCCCCCAAAAGACAAGACACCCAGTATAATAAAGCACTGCAAAACAGTTGGCAATTTTCAGTTATCAAAATTGTGGATTTTGCATCGTGTATCCTTTTCTCAATAAAGAAAAACATTTTTTCAATGTTATATGACATGCATATAAAAGAAGATAGAAAAATACATTATAAACTTGTAGCAATGGCTGTAAATATGTTTCTCATAGAGAATAGGTTGGTTATGGTATATACACAGCATGAAACTACTACAGTAATAAATAATAGACAAAAAATACATGTGAGCGGTATGATAACATACAAGTGACACTCCTATTTACCCATGCTAAAAAGTGATGTGATACTGTCAGAAAAACATCTTAAAAATTACATTAATAAGAAGTAAATTCAAAAAAGAATAATACTGAGAACCAAGGCATTCAGAGATTTCAAAATTCATGCTTTTTTTTTCAGTTGATCCAAAAAATTTGTCAACTAAGTTTTCAAAGGTTTGTTCTGAGCCAACATTACTTATAAATGTCACACATTTATTATTTCACACATTGACTTTCTTCCCCATATTAGTCCTTTGATAAACATCTAAAATGTCCAGCTATAACACAGTTGAGATGAAACTGGATCAAATACTGGTATCGTTTTTAACTATCCCCCCAAGTGTTTGAGTGTCACAGACTTATTCAACCAACCCAACACAATAAAAATCAAAATGGCGCAGCATATATTGTAAATAAATCAAAACAAATGTCAGCGGTGTGTAACAGAAAGACGCAGCGGTACATTAAAACCAAAGCTAGCAGAGTATAAAGAATGACTGTCTATTGCGTAGTAAATAAACTGAAAATGGTTCAAAGTGACACGAGATAACGGAGAGGTTGCCGCGAAGGAGCCGACTGAGCTTCCTGCTACCTTGGCTGTGAAGCTTTGAAGGTGTGGGAGAGGGAAAGAGCCGATGAGCTGGAGGTCCGCTGCCACTTGAGATTTTCCACATTTGGTGCTGAATAGTTAATGATTATCTCCTCAAGTGTTTAGGGGTAGGCTTTGCACACAACTTGTCTCAACGACAAAAATGATTGAACTTCATGATTGTGAACTTAGTTTGTTCTAAGAGTTTGGAAATGATGGCCGTGTTTGTGTCTGTGCCAGAAAGATGGCTGAGGTCCTATTTGTCACCTGATGTAGCGTTTGCAAACAAAAAGCCAAATTTTGCCCAATGCTTTTGTCTGTTTACAAAACTGTTCACAAATAAAAGCATTCATGAACCGAGGTACCACTGTAATATTCACAAGTTGTATTTACACCGAACTGTATAAAAGAAATTTGGCAGTTTTGTTTCTTTTCCATGGGAAATATTTTCCCACTCCTTGGAATTTCCCAAATGATACAAGTGTCTTCATCATTCATGTGGGTTCTGATTATTTATGCTAATGAGGTGACCTATGCTGGATTCATAAACAGTTTATATTATTTATGATGAGTTGGGACAGGGTATGGCCCAAATAGAAAGAGCAAAGCTGTGATCAGTGGCTTATGACATGGAGAAAGTAGTATCAGTCTGGTCCCTGGTAAAAGACTGCGTTCCGTCATTGAGCCGGTGGCTGAATTGATCAGGCCATATAATGAAAGCACAATAGTTTAGATGCCCTAGCTCAGGTGAGCTTTTCTGGTTGGCAGTGCAGACTAATGTTCCAAGAGGGGGCAGTGCCTGGGAACAGAGGAACTTCCTATTTGAGGCTCCCCAGACCTTAGCCTGGGGACATTCTTTCTCTCTTCTCTGCTTTCTTCTCTCTTCTCCTCTCTCCTCTTCTCTTCCCTCTTTCCTCTTTATCTTCCTTCTTTTCTTTTTCCTTCCCCCTTCTTCTTCTCCCCTCTCCTCCTTCCTTTTCTCTCTCTTCCTCTTCATTTCCTTCTTTTTCTTCCCTCTCCTCCTCCTTCTCTTTTTCCGTCTTTCTCTCTCCTCCCCTCCCTTCCCTGCTGCTCTTTATTTGTATTCTTTGCATTGGCTATAAGAATGTAAGTGTAAGTGCAATCTTTTCCTCAGTTCTGCGAGTCATTCTAGCAAGTTATTGCATCTGAGGCTTTGTGGGAAATGAGAATCTGTAGCCCCCTGGCCAGAGGTATGAGTGGCCTGGGAGCCCTTAGCAGATTTCTGGACTCTGATATGAAGTCTCTCTTATAGGAACTGTGCCCATTAATGTGAAGCTTGACCTAACTCTTGGTTTTTCCTGTCTGATTTGTATTTTGCTAAAGAAAAACTTAACAAAGTCTTTTTAATAAATTCCAGTTATAAATATTGAGGCTTCTCTATTTTATGCAAAATAACTTCAGAATCACAAGCTTAGCTTCAGGAAAGTCTGATTTCCAACACTGACTCTGCCACTTGCCAGTCAAAAGGGTCTGAAAAAAAAAAAGTCTGGACAACTGTGGAACTGAAATTAGCTTTTCCCATGACAGTTTACTAGTTCTCTTTTCTCAGCTCTAAGATGGGCAGATTCCCAGTACTCAGCAACCCTTAGAAAGTCACAACTCTCAGAATAGCCATGATGCAAAAGAAGTCACACATGGGAAAATTTCTGCTTTGTGCAGAAAACACTGTTAGCCTAAATTATGCAACTGGGTAATTATCCTTTGTGATAGTCATACCATAAGGAAGGCTGCAGAATCATATTGATTTCACAGGCAGACAACAGGTAGAGTCATCTTTTTCTTATTTTTCTTTAGGGTCAATTATTATCTTTCTCAATGTCTTTTCTCCTTCATTCTCTCTTCTTTTTCATCTTCTTCATCCTTCTTCCTCTTTCTCCCTCTTTTCTCCTCCCTTTATCTCTCTTTCCTTTCTAATCATAATTAGCAAGAATAAATGTCTCCCAAGTCTATCTGTCCCACAGCTCTGACCAGAAAATCACAAGATATATTATTTATTTTCCCTACACACAAAACAAAAGAAGGGCGTGTGTTTTATTTTCTTTAAAAAACTTAAATACTTTTCATGGATTTAACAGAAGCTAAATGAATATCATCTCTTCTGAATGTTATGAAATAAACTCTGTAGATACCATTTGGGGTTTTTGAACATCATCATCTCATAACTCTAACAGAAACTTTTGATTGGGTAAAGAAAAACATGAAAATCTTCCTTTCCTGGATGCACTTTCTCCAGCTGGAGAGGCTGTGAGCGCACTTCCCCTCCTCTGAGAGATCTACCCACAGCATACAGTGAAGCTGAGATTTTCTATGGAAATTCCTCCACATCTTACCTGCCACACGATGGTCTGTTTGTTCATCGCATATCTCCTCAGGAGAGCAGGGGTTGTTTTATGACTCGCTATAGCTCCCAGGCTAGCTCTGTGGTTGGTACCTATCTGATAAACTGTGTTCATAAAATGAACTGAGACTAGAAGCAAAATCCAACAGAACAAAGAGGAGAGAGTAGAAGTGGGCATCCTCTTCAGAGCAAATCAGCCCCTGCCTTGATGGGATTTTCAAAATATTGAGAAACATATACAAGTATAGCTTGTTCTCCTGCCAAAATGAAGTGGGTGGCAGGAAAACTGTGGATGCAGTGAAGAGGTGAGTGGGTGCCAGGGACTAGAGGACGGGAAGCGATGATACACAGAGCGCAGGGACCTCTGTGCAGAGAAACTGCTCTGTATGATACTGCAATGGTGGACGCACGCCCCGGCACATCTGTCCACGCTCACAGAATGAGCCAAGAGTCGTCCTCATTAAAGTGAATTCTGGGTGGTAATGACCTCCCTTGTGGATCACTGATGTTAAGAAATGTGCCTTCTGGGAGCGGGATGTGGACAATGTGTGTGCGGGGGACGATACGACGGGTCAGGGTGTATCTGAGGTTTCTTGGCAACTCCCTCTTTGTTCTTTCTTTGCTCAGAAGCTGAAATTTCTATTAAATTAATCCTTTTTTGAAAAGGAAAAGAAGACAAAAATAAATGTGGACAGTGTCCTTGGAAACATGAACTAAGCTTTTTGGGGAAGGAGAGACTGAGTTACAGGAGGCTGCACCCTGAGTCACACAGCTCAGGCAGGTGTGGGTGAGCTCCTAAGCATGTGCAGCAAGGGTGAACACAGCACTGGACATGGAGCTGGACAGGCAAGAGAATCTGAAATATGGACCAAGATACAGGGCACAGATGGGTGAGGGGTTTGGTAATTATGTTTTCAGAGACCGGACGTAGATGCTTGGAATAGAAAGCACTTATCGTCGAAAAGTAAGACACGCTGCAAGAGATGCAGCAGGAAAGTTGTTCCCTATGTAGCAACAATTTACCTACAACAGTAGAGCTATGTGAGAATCTGAGGATCTAAGGATCACATTTAAAGATTCAAAGTAGGTACTCACTAGGGCATGAAATGAAATGAGCACGCATTACCATCCATTGCTCCAGGCCTGTCCGTCCTTTCACTGCCTATGGATGGGTCTGATCATTGCTCACCATGCACTCGGTGGTGGGCTTTCCAATGCTGGCTGGACCTAGGGTATGTGATATTGGGATGAAGGGTATGGGGTATGAAATTAGACCACTAATTTGCTTTAGTTCTGGGTATGGATAACGGGAAGGCCCACCCTGGGTGTGGGCGGCACCACCCGAAAGGCTGGTAGACTGGATGGGGCAAAAGGGGAAGGGAGGTCTACTCTGTTGCTGCTCCTTGCTGCTTTTTGCCTCCGGCTATTGACTGTTTCTCTTCTGTGATGCCATGATACCCTACCTTAGAGCCAGCCGATTGTGGACTGAAACCTCTATAAACTGTGAGCCAAAGTAAGCCTTGACTCCTTTAACTTGTGGGTGTCTGCTATTTTTGTCCTAGAAATAAGAAAGTAATTAAGACACACTTACCCTGGGGAGCGACAATTACTGCCCCTTTTGCCCAACTTCACATAGTTATTAATATTTGAGAAAAAGACTCAAATCTAGATAGTCTGTCTAACTCTCAGGCGAACCATTCCATGGCCATGGGACAGGGCCATGGAAAGGTGGGGTAGGCACTTACAATGAAGACAGAGTTTGCTGAGCATGTGGTATTCAGCAGGTTTCCAAGCCATGGTTCTGGGTAGCCCATGAACAGTGTTAGTGACCAATCTTTTTCTTTCCTCTGGTATTACACACCAAAAGGATGGGCTACAAATCTGACAACCTCACAGCAAGGAGTGAATATTAAGGTCATCAAGCTCTCGAGGAAAGAGGAAACAGTTCTTCATTGATAAACCTTTTGATTTGGAATGAAAAAACCATCCAAGCAATTCATGAAGGAACATGACTGGGGACACACAGACGATGCTGGTAAAGCAGTTTGGGGGATGGGATGGATCCAATGCAGGTGGAGGCGTATGGAGAGAAGTCCAAGGAGACAGCCAGGCCTCTGACGGTGACTGTCTGGGGTTCTTCTAGAACATGAGACAAGAGATGGGATCCAACCTCATGCACATTACACAGATGCAATGAGATGCTGATCTTCAAATGCTAATGGGCACAGGCAGTGAACGATTCCTGGAGAGATGGCCCCGGCCATGTTTTGCTGCTGATTCACACTCAGGGACACTGACACGAGAGGCAAAGGGAAACAGAAGGCAGAGCAAGCCCAGGGAGACCGACCCTGACTTGCCAGTGGATGCTGCAGGATGGAGGCTCAGAGATAAAGCTGGCTGAAAGAAAGTGAAGGCATGCAGTAGGAATCGCACACATGTGCTGAGGGACTGAGATTTACGTTCACTGGAATATCTATTAGCATTTGCAGAAAAAAAGACTACATATCTGTATTTGTGTACACACATGCACACGCGTGCATGCACACACACCCCCACACACACACACTTGTTGCCTCTAAGGAAAAGGTTTAACGCTCTGTTTTCAACTGATTTTGATTGGTTAGATTGGAGGCTGATACTGGACCAGTACACATCCCAGCTGTCATACATCAGATTGACACTAGATGTCAGTATAACTGAGCACCAAATTCCCAGTTGCAGGGATGCGCTGTCCTTGGAAGTCACCTAGATGTCTCAACAGTGCAGAACCTCTGCCACGTAGCTCTACCAACCTTGCATTTGAATGATGGACACCTAAGAACTAATGGTTTGAGGCCCCGCATGGGAAAGAGTGAGGGAGAGCATGAGCTTCTGAGTCAGGGTTGCTGGCTTGGACTGCTCGGTCCCTGTCATACCAGCATTAAAGAACACTCACCATCCTTGTGCCCAGTTTCTGTCTGCAAAGTACGAATTGTGAGGTTTTGTACAGGATTAATGAGATAGAACCCCTACACCTCCAGCAGAGAGCCCAGCCTATTCTGGCCCTTCCTGGGTTTCTGTACTCGGGCTGCAGGACAGGACAGAGCACAGACATGTTTCACATGTCCAGATGCTCCAGTAGTACACTGCAGTACCAGCTCCACAGGAGACACAGACAGAAGCACACACACACAAACATGCTTTCTTTTCTCCCCAAAATGAGTCATTCACTCACACAAGTAGTTCTGCAGCCGTTTCCCTAAGTACTTTGCCTGGCCCATGTCATCAAAAAGGGACTCTGAACCTGAGGCCAATGAACCTCAAGCAGGGGTGACTGTATGTTTGAATCTCACACTTGTGATGAGAAGGGACCTTTGCCGATTCCCAAGTCAGCATGTGCGGGCTGATTCCACTCTGGCCGTTGACAACACCGAGGCATTGGGCCCCTCCACACCGAAGGGACTGATGTTGGAGCCTTCACTATGAAGAAGTCTTTTCAAACAGCTTGGCCTTAATTCTTGCTCTCTCACTATGATTGGAGGGGCACTTTTTAAATTAGGTCCTATTGCTGTTGAGGACACAGTGTGACCTCCAAGACTCCACCTCCGGAGAGCCTTGTTTGTTTGTATGTTTGTTTGTGTATTTTTGAGACAGGGCTTCACCACATAGTTCAGGCTGGCCTTGAACTTATGGCAATCCTCCTGCCTCAGCCTCCGGAGTGCTAGTACTGTAGTCATGAGCTACCACACATATCCCAGAAAGCTGGATTACTGAACCTTTCCAAAACAACAGAAGAAGCCAAACCTTTCATTGGGCAGTCCACGTATCTGTCCTCAAAGATGACTGGCAGGGTGTTGCAATTACCATCAATGTCCAGGCACTCTGCAGGCAGTGGGGGCATGCTGGTGAGGTACTCGGAATTCCGCACATCCAGGGACAGCTGGCTGTGGGTCTGCATCCTGGTGGCACATGGACAGGGTGAGCACTCAAGAAACAATGACAGTCCTTAAAAGTGTTCTGAAGTGCTAATCACAGGAGGACACTCAGAAATTCTGAGCAGACTGTGGCCACAGCCATCTGCTTCTCCATCCACACTTCCCTGCTTCTTAGCCACACCCTCAGCCCCCAAAGCCATAGTAGTCAGCTCTGTTTGGGAATTGCTTCAAGGTGCTGGGGTCAGAGGCCATAAATTGCAGGACTGGGTGACACGTGAGGTTATCCATCACACATAGTTAGCAAATGTTACAAAAGAGTGGAATGCCACCTGAATTCCTGGCTAGGAATCAAATTATTAGTATGTTTTACATATGTATGTCCCATTTATTTCACTTAAGAGTATGGACTCAATATGCATCTATTTACCTATAAATGACTCTAGTTTCTCATTCTTCATGCCTGAGTAGTACTCCATTTTATAGAAAAGCCACATCTTTATCCAATCTCCAGTTGATGGGCAGTTGGGCTGTTCCCAAGTTTTAGCTATTACAAACTATGCCACTATAAACATGGGTGTGCATATATTGCTGTGGTATGAGAAATCTTAAATTAGTACTTTGAAGTACTTACCTGTTACTCTTTCTCCTATATTATACCATGTAGGGCCCAAGCCATATTTTGGTACACTTGAATTAAAAACCATGTAAAATAGCCTTTTTTGACTATTATATGGATAATTAGTATCCTTAATATGGGTGTAAGTTCCCCTAGTTTAAGAATCATGCTTTATTCCTTCCATGTATGATTTTTTTAAATGTCCATTTTCTCCATGACCCAAAGATTTTCTTTTTTTTTTTTTTTTTTTTTTTTTTTTCTCAAGGT